ATCTATCTATCTATCTATCTATCTATCTATCTATCTATCTATCTATCTATCTATCTATCTATCTATCTATCATCTACCTATCATCTATTTATCTATCCATCCATCTATCTATCTATCCACTAGCTGATAACCCGGAGTAGCCCGGGTATGTATTTATCCCAATCCTGTATTAGAGAGAGCCCCCTTGCGGAGTACTGCAAAGCCGCTACCAAGGCAACTCCACTATGTGGTACAATAGAAGTCATTTTAAGGCACAACAGGCTGTATCTTAACAGAACTTGAATCCAAAATGCACACTATCACTCTCAAAAGTACCGTGACTTGGCATTATAGATATAATTCAGTCCTTTTCATTTGAGCGGCCCAGGCGTTCCGGAGTTATGCTGGAACACACAACACATGGAACACACAACAAACATCCCCCCCCCCAGGGATGTTAGGGATGTCTCCCCACCCCAGCCCCCAGTATTTGTTTCCAGAGAGTAAGTCATCTGTGTACAAAGTTTGGCTGAAATTGCTCAAGGCGTAACTTGAAGTTACCTTAGTTCTTATACTTTAACGCTTATCTAAAGTGCAAATTACAATTTGAAACTCTCGTCAGGAAAAACATGATGGACACACTGTTCTCACTGTAGATATCAACAAAGTTTTACTGACAGCATCAATCACTGGGGAGAATGAGTCATGTTGAGCCTCATGATTGATCATGTCTGTTCTATACCTGGGTTTGGATTTGAAAAGCATTTAGAAACTACTGAGAGAGATCATTTATCTTCATTTTCCCCGAGTTAACTGAGGCTGAAATATGTTACATTATTCACCAATGAAACAAAACAGAGTTAATTAGTTTTGCCAATTTGTGCTACCAAAACACATGGCCAATCATCAATCTTCATTTAAGTCACCCCATAATAAATCCGTACATCACAGGTTAATTCACATAAATTGATTCTGCTCACATTCGTGTCTGTTTTCATGCACAGCAGAGTGGAAAGTTCTAATTTCACTCTTAATTCTTCTGATTTATTGACAATTTGCCCAATGCAAATGATCACCAATTTAATCCACTTTATCACCTACTCTCAAGTCACTTCAGATATGAAAACGATCAATAAACAAAGCAACTTGTCTAAAACCAGCTTTATCCATGGAACAGATCAGTAAGACCTCGCAACACATTTTCATTCTTTTTTGGAGCTTCACTTTCTGTAAACATCTTTCTATAAATAAAAAGTCCTCAGAATTATAGTGATCAATGTGTAAGAGATATGTATTTCAGGTAAGCTCTGTTTTTACTTTCCTTGTTACAGCTAATTACATTTTATTAGCAGGATGGGATTCCCTATAGTGCAGCAATATTCTCTCTCTACAGTTAACTAACTATATAACAAAATAATTCAGCCGAGCCAATTACAAATTTCATTCTTCACAGCTAAGTAATAATACTATGCAAGCTTCCAGTGCAAAACATTCATACACTTTTATCTGAGTATATCACAGTATAAAATACATTTTTTAAAATAGTTAAATCTAAGATTCACAAGACAACCATCCATCCCGCTGCACTGTATGGGCAGCAACAACAGGGACTGAAAGCTATCTCCATCAGTGGTGGGTTTCAATTTATTTTACTACCAGTTCAAACGCGCAGGTCTAGGGCGAACCAGCAGAAACCCACCTCTGATCTCCATGCCATGGAAATGGGAATGCTCCATTGGATATCGGGCCTCTCCCTTCTTGACCACATCACTAATGACACCATTTGACAACATTTGAGGGTGGGGGGGCACCAATTAAAGAGAAGATGAGAGAAGGCCATCTCCACTGGTATGGACTTTCCACTGTTACCAATTAGAAGTCAGTGGCCGGTGACCTTGCAGGCATCCAAAACTGTTCTGACCCCCTCGTCCGTCCAGTAACGGCTGTCGAGACAAGCTTAACTGGAATGTACTTTAATAGCAAGACACCAAAACCTCGGTGGCTGAAAGCCAAGCA